AGAGAGAATGAGAGACAGAGAGCATGAGAGGGAGGAGAGTCAGAGGGAGAAGCAGACTCCCTGCCAAGCAGGGAGCCCGATGCGGGACTCGATCCCGGGACTCCAGGATCTGAGCCGAAGGCAGTCGCTTAACCAACTGAGCCACCCAGGCGCCCCCCCATAAGTGTTCTTGTAGGTAGTTGTATTAGTTATGGTGCAGCCTAAACTACTCTGATAAAGGCAGACCAAAATTCAGTGACTTAAGTAGACAAAAGTATCTCTCTGCCCTCTCACATTCCAGAGGTAGACAGAGGGCTTTGCCTTATCAGGGACTGAGTTCTTTTTTTCTTTTCTTTTTTTTTTTTTTAAAGGGAGGGAGGGGCAGAAGGAGAGAGAGAGAATCTTTTAATTCATGAGAGAGAGAGAGCAGGGCGGGGTGGGAGGGAGGAGCAGAGGGAGAGGGACAAGCAGACTCCGCCCTGAGTGCAGAGCCCAACTTGGGCCGAAACCAAGAGTCAGACGCTCAACTGACTGAGCCATCCAGGCACCGAGAGAGAGAGAGAGAGAGAGAGAGAGAGAGAAGAGAAAGAAAGATTGGGGGGAATCTTAAGCAGGCTCCATGGCGGAGCCCGATGTGGGGCTCTGTCTCACAGCCCTGAGATCATGACCTGAGCCAAAATCAAGAGTCGGCCAATTAATCAGTTGAACCACCCAGGTGCCCCCAAGTTCTTTTTTTCTTACCGGCTCTGCCATCCCAACAAAATTGCCCTCATCTGCTTGGTCAAAAATGGCTCTCATCATTAGGTTCTGGTTCCAGCCCCTGGGAAGGGGGAACAGAGGAAATGGGGACAATTTCTTTTCCAAAGGATGTGATCCAGAAGTTACCCTTATCACTTTTGCTTACATCCCATTGCCTAGAATTCTTCATATAACTACATTTGGCACAAAGGAGTCTTAGAAATGCAGTCTCTAGCCAGACAGCTTTGTGCTCAGCTTAAAAAAACAAAACAAAACAGGGTTTCTGTACCAAAAGGAAGAAGAGACTATTACTGGGGGAGAGTAGGTGGATTCTGCCACAAGAATGATTTTATTATTTTTTAGGTATTTTACAGTTTGGCTTTGCTTTTAATTTCCAGGTGTTTTCTTTGTTAATTTCTAGTTTTACTACATCATGAAAGAATACTGTCTGTGTTATTTCCACAATGGGAAATAATTTATAAGGACTTGTGGATATTCCACAAGCCTTTGAAAAAGTTTTCTCTATTAATATATAGAATTTGGTCTATGCTAGTTAGATTTTTTTTTTCCCCCCCAGAATGGTTAGATTTTGTTACCTGTTACCATTTAGGTCTTTTATATCCTTAACTTAATTTTGCACTATTGCATTTTAATGGCCTAAAAGACATAAAGACCTCTAATACTATTGTGTTTGTATTTCTTTTTGTGTTCTTGTACTTTTTTTTGAAGATTTATGTTGTGTTGTTTTTGTACTCAGAAGGACAAATCACTGATTAAAGTTTAGTGAGTCTGGGTAATCTTGTTTCCCATTTTTTGGATGGTACCTCATTTTAGCTCCAACATATATAAAGAAGAAAGTATCTGTTTTCCTAGAGCTTATTTTGTCTTAACTGAGGTTGAATTGTAATGGTTTTCTTTAATTTGAGAATGAATGTTTCTATTTCTCACTTATTACACAGGTAATTCTGACTCGAAGGACAGAAGAGGTGAGCCACTCACCTTATGTCTATTGTCCCCTTTATAATGTACAATATTCATCATGTTTGCTCACAGTCTATGGTAACCTTGTGCGTCTGTATGGTTGTGTGTTTACTTTCCCTTAAGTTGTTTCCATATTAACCTTGTAGAGAAGAGTAACAGAAACAAATATTCACTATGTTTTTAAATATAGATTATGGATTCTAACAGTTATGACGTCTTTTAACAAGTAATAAAACAGCTGTGTCTCACTTTATCATGTCACTTTGCTAATATCATCCTTTGTTGATATTAAGCCATAATTGCTACACCATAGTTAATTCCTGATGTCTAGTCAATAATTGCCTGTAAACATCCTAGCTTTTTGTGTCGTTTTCCCTAGTCTAAAAAGTGTCGACCCTTTGTCATTTTATATGGATTTTATGGGTTTTCACCTCTCTAGTGTAAAGTCCCTATGGCTGGAGATGCTGTGTCAGTGGTCTAAGTAGGACTGCCAAATCCCTGGTCACCAGAGAACAGAATGCGTGGGTGCTTACATGTACTGGCTCATTTTGCTTAGGACAATAGTAGGGCTATCATCAGAGGGTGTAAGTGAAAGAGATCACCCAAAAGTCTAAGAAATAATCATTGCATTTGAGTTTGGGAAATGTTAATCCATGAACCAATTTTTCTCTTGTGATTTCTTATTTTATTAAATGAGCTTTCTGGGGCTTTTTATTCTTACTCCACTATTTAACCATGCACAGTTTTTCCTGCATAATTAATAAAACATTTGAAGGCTTAAATGAATTCCCACTAAGTAAGGGAGCATTTGAATCAGAAAAGTAGATACTATAATCCTTTATGTGTTGTCCATCTGCCACTGTATTAGTGAGGTGTTATACTGTGCACAGATTTCTTGTGATTTTCCAGCTCTCACTTTCTTAAACTCAGGAACTAGATTCTATCAAGTAGTGTCTTTGCTATTCACATTTGCTTACTAGATTCTCACTACAAATGTAGACTTAATAGATTTATATTGCAAGAGATAACTTATATTTGCTCTCTAAAACTCCTCTTTTAACCAATCTTAAAGTCAAAAGTCAAAATGGTATAGCTTTAAGATTAAACATACAGTCTCTGCTTTCTTCCTCTACATAATGTGTATTTTCTTAATATTCAGCCTTTTCTTGCCCCAATATTATTCCTTTTTTACCTGGTTAACTAACATGGATTTGAGTAGTTCCAGTATTGTGATTAAAAAGAAATGAAATTACCTTAATTATATAGAATATTGCTAATTGTGACATATTATTAATATGTATTAGCATATATCCTTTTTAAGTTTAAAAAAAATTTGTATAATTGCTTTTGACCAAACAGGAAAATAAAGAGATGTACATATTCTCAGCAATATCTAAAGCCCCAAATGCAATGACATTTTTACCAGAGCAAACCTTTAGAAGTATTTCTGTAAATTTTGATATCACATTATTTTAAAACCAAATGCTTTCTGAGAAATGAGGCAAATTATTTTAAAATATTTGCATCATAATGGGTTTGCCAAGCAAAGTATGTCTTATGCAGATGAATTAAATTGTAAGTTTTTCTGCACTGGTCTCTGGGATGCTTTTGAATAGCAATGGCTGGTGTTTTAATTGTCAAAACAGAAAGGAATAAAAAGAGATGAAGGGAGGCAGGGAACTTTGCTTCCTTTCTTTTGAGGTCTAATAAACTGGTTATTTTCTCATGTGTATTATTTTTTAAATACATCCCACGTTATTCAGTAGAACTAGCTTTTTTTCTAATTGTGGTAAAATATACATCATATGAAATTTTCCATTTTAACTGTATAGTTCAGTGAAATTAAGACATTGTTGTGCAGCTATCACCACCATCCACCTCCAGAACGTTTTTATCATCCCAAACTAAAACTCTAAACATTAAACAGTGACTCCCCATTTCTCCCTTCTCCCAGCCCCTGGTAACCACTATTCTATTTCCTGTCTCTATAAATTTGTCTATCTTAGCTACCTAATTTAAGTGGAATCACAACAGTACTTTTCCTTTTGTAACCTGCTTTTCTTTTAAAGCATTTCTACTGGTGTTAATTTCGGGTGATTTGTGTAATATATAGTAATGCATTAAATCCAGTTCTGTCATTATCTCCTGAGTGCCTCTTCCCCATGAAGTCAGTGGTCATGAGTGCACTCTCCCATTGTTGTTTAGTTTTCACTAATTTTACATCTCGGTTTTACTAGTTTTGTTCTAGAGAGAGCAGACTCTGAGATAGCAGGCTTACTGGAGAGTACTTTCTCTCTCCATAGCACCTGCGAAGCACCGAAGGCAGTAGTATTGAGCAGAGAGGATGAGAGATGCCATGTGGTCAGAGCAAAGGCAGCGAAGCCCTCAGTCAATCCTGCAGCAAGCTCTGGAGCTGGAATGGGGGGGCAGGGGCTTTCCCCTGGGCCAGGCTACTCTCTTAGGCCAAGGGCAGTTCCTGGGAAAGGACTTGCTGAGAACTGTTAGCCACTAACCCTCCCAGCAGCTAGGGGAATGGGTTCTTTGGTCTTGAAGGGGAATCTGTAACATCTACTTACTGTTCTCATGAAGTTTGAGCAGGATAGTGATGCATACTCTCATTCATCTGTTTAGAGATTTTCCTGTGTAAGAAAATGCTGTTGAATGATCTTGATATATATATTGAGGCTGGGGAGTGAGTGGCATAGTGGAATATTTGGAGAAGACGTGTATGCAGTGGTTAAAAGCAAGCCCTGGACTCTGGGGCTAGACCATCTGGGTTTGTGAGTTGACTCTTACCACTTACCAGCAGTGTGGGGTAGATATCTGACTTCCCTGTGCCTCCTCACCATTTGCAAAATTGGATAGGAACACAGTTTCCGTCATAGGGTTGTTTTGGAGAAAGGAGTAACACATATAAAGTGCTTGGCCTACTGCTGGGTCAGCATATAGCAGTTGCTCAGCAAGTGCTGGCTTTGACATTGCCACTCCTACCATCCCACCGTTCTGTTACTGTTATTGTTGATGGGAGACTAAGGAGGTCAGGAATCTCAGCCAGTCAGTCGGGACTCACGGACACAGGGGCACTGGTAAGCCTCCTGGAGGCTGTGTGTAAGGCAGCTCCCAAGGCAGGGTCATCTTGCAACAGTACTACTGTGACTGTAGACATTTAGCTATTCTCCTGGCCTGTACCTTTTTTTTTTTTTTTTTAAGATTTTATGTATGTATTAGAGAGAGAGAGAATGAGCAAGAGAGAGCATGAACAGGCAGAGTTAGAGGGAGAAGCAGGCTTCCCACCGAGCAGGGAGCCTGACACAGGGCTCAATCCCAGGACTCTGAGATCATGATCTGAGCCAAAGGCAGATGCTTAACCTACTGAGCCACCCAGGCGTCCTGGTTTTTGTTTTTTTGTTTTTTTTAAGTCTGGAATAGTATCCTCTAAACATTTGTGAAGAAGGAGTCCTTGAACTACAGAGTTCTAGAAGCAGACACGATAAGCATTCTGTTGAACCCCAGAGGCTTGTTGAGGTTGCTCAGCTCTCACATCAGATCACCTGCTCCCCCGGCTTTCTAAAGAAGTATTTTTTTATCATCATAGTAAATGACATTATTATTGTGAACTCCATGGCTTTCCCTAAGTACCTTTAATTATATATTCATTCAGTACCCGTTAGATGCTAAGGATTCCAGAAAGAAAAGAAATATTCCCTGTCTCATGGAAGAAACCTGTGAACAGTAAGCATCAAAGTCCACTCAGCTACATGTTATTTGGCTATACCACACAAAGTGCTGCAAGAGAGTGTAAAAGACTCATTCCTAGAAGGAGGCGTGGGGGTGAACTTTGGGCAGTTTAAATTAATATAGTGACTGAGGAAAATGAGGATGCGCCAGGTAGGGTGAAAGCAATGAGCCATGAAAGAGCAAGTCAAGTATTTGAGGAACTGTGCACAGTTGAGGCGCCTGAGGTGGGGGGAGTGGCCAGAGCTAGCCTCAGCACAATGGACCTGCTGGTGGTGTGAGCTCAAGGGCTAGGGTGTCTCCTGGTGAGGGGAAGGAAGAAGTGACATGGTCAGATTTTTGTTTTAGAATAACTCCAGAGGCCTTAGGGAAGATAGGTGGGCAATAGAAATTAGTTTCTGAATGATAATTTGGCCCAAGACAAGATTGGGCTCAGCCCAGTGGTTTGGGCTCTTGAGGCAACCTGATGATTTTTTGCTATTTTTAAAGCCAGTAGAAAGCACTTAAAACATTACAACTCTGCTGTTGAGAGTTGATGAATACTGATATTGAAAAGTGTAGAGACCAGCCTCAATATATATATCAAGATCATTCAATAGCATTTTCTTACACAGGAAAATCTCTAAATTGTCTCGTGTCTGCTGTGTCTGCTACACTTCTGACCCTGAAGCCAGAATGGCTTTCTTTTGACCTCATGCTCAAATGAAAATTTGGCTAGATGAATAACTCCAGGTTCAGAGTCCTTCTTAAGAACTTGGTAGACAGTGGCATTATTGACTTTGGTGGTGGTATTTTAGATGTGCGGTCATACATAAATCTAAAGGAATTGAGGTTAAAGGAATATGGCTTTTACTTCAGTGATTATTTTTGTAGTTGACCAAGGTGGTCTGAGTCTTTAGGTGACTCATCTGTCTACATGTGAGCCCTTAGAATAACATGACCGTTTGTTTTCTTGCAAAAAGAATATAGCAAGTAAGACATCTGTTGTCCCAGAACACCATTTTAGTATTTTTGAAATGCTACCCCATACCCTGAGTCTAGGAAGTGACATTTTGCTAGAATGTCATTTTGCTAGAGGGGAGGTGGGGGTTGGGCAAGGAATAGACAGACCAGTGTGTTTGCCTTGCCTACACCTGCATCATGTAAGGCCACCTCCAGAAGACCTAGACCAGGACAAGCCTGAGAGATGAGATGATTCTGTCCAGTTAGGGAGGTACCCTAAGAGAGTGACTTGATCCTGAGCCTATCTCCAAGTCCAAAATTTGACACA